CGTATTTCGCCGAACCTAACTGATTAGAAATTACAGTAAAAACAGAAACGATTGAATGTAAATCAATTTATATTCATTCATATTACATTATTGTATGCGTTGCGACCCATTTGTGTCAATTTCTAGGTCCCAAATATTAGCGACTTAGCTCCTTTCGGTCATCAAATCTATCATAGAATGTTATGGCAAAGAACCTCAAGTCCTTCCTTCGAAGACTGCGAAAAGAAAACACGGGTATGTATAATTTAAATAACTTTTAAAACAAATCATTTGCAGCACAAGTTAGTCACTCGTTTGTTCAGGGGACTACTGTAACCTGGAAAATGATTCACTCAGAATTTAACTTCATTCATACTTTGTGGATCCCTTAGTACCGCAAAATGTTAATTTTTCGGTTAAAGGTAGGCAATCACAAATAAAACATGGCACAAAATGTTTTCGGATTACTATATTACATTAATAATTTAATTTCAGATTTACAAGGGGACGAAGAAACAATGGAAATAGACCAGCCATCTGATGCCAGTGATGTTCTTCTTGAGGAGCTAAAGGAATCTAGTTTAGACCCCGATTCAGAGATAGAAACCGATTTGAAGAATTCAAGTAAGTCACGCTTTCACTTCAGAGCTGAGGGTCAACTATTAGAATACAACCTAATTAGCTCTACATCTATAAATTGAGTCCAACTTAAAGATACATTATGGACGATTAGATAAAGAGTTGGCAGTTCTCACTATCAATAGTTAATAACTGGATAATGTAAAGGGAATGTGCTGCAAATTTATTGAGGGGGGGGGGGCAAACACTCTAACTTGCCTTAATCGAGTAAACAAGACAGGCAAAAATGGATTGCTGACTCATTTCATGAAAAAGTTTGAGTGTAATAGTGATGGGCAGATTTTAAGGATGCATCGATACGACGGGGATTGCGATTAATTATGATTATTAGGTCAGCCAATTAAATAATCACATACTTAGTAGATTATTTGGTGCATTGTGATTATCAATCTGTTAAACCCTTTAACAGTATCCATGGGTACTGACTTTGAAATCATTAGTTCAGTGTTGAAATCGATGTCATTAATCTATATATATATTTGTGACTGTCGTTTGTCTGTCTTTCTGTCTGTTCGGGGTTGGCGGCTACACTAGGTCTGCCCCGAGTCTGAAATTTGGGGTATAAGGGTAACTCGGACCGGGGAGTAACATAGGCCAGGTGGCGTTAGTCTACCACTTACGGTTTCGGGGTTTCGGAGTTATGACCCCCGAGCGAAGCCGGTCTGTTCGGGGTTGGCGGCTACACTAGGTCTGCCCCGAGTCTGAAATTTGGGGTTTAGGGGTAGCCCGGCCCGGGGAGTAGCATTGGCCAGGTGGCGTTAGTCTACCACTTCCGGTTTCGGAGTTATGACCCCCGAGCGAAGTCTGTTCGGGGTTGGTTGGCGGCTACATCTGCCCCGAGTCTGAAATTTGGGATATAGGGGTAACTCGGACCGGGGAGTAACATAGACCAAGTGGCGTTAGTCTACCACTTCCGGTTTCGGAGTTATGACCCCCGAGCGAAGCCGGTCTGTTCGGGGTTGGCGGCTACACTAGGTCTGCCCCGAGTCTGAAATTTGGGGTATAGGGTAGCTCGGACCGGGGAGTAACATAGACCAGGTGGCGTTAGTCTACCACTTCCGGAGTTATGACCCCCGAGCGAAGCCGGGTATCCTGCTAGTAATTTAATAATCGCGATAATGAATCTTTCAAGCATGATTATTTGAATTATCCAGATTATTTTTTCATGTATCGTTGCATCCTTAGTAGATTATTTGGTACATTGTGATTATCAATTTGTTACACCAGTTATTCATAGGTAGAATGTCACTGTGTTGTATTTAAGTTAAAATTTGTGAACATGATTTTATTAATCAGCCAATATCACAGGAGTCAAAGGTATTAAAATGTCTTAAAAGAATTAAACCAGGGACAGTGCCTGATGGCATAGGTATTTATTTCTTAAAGTCATGACCTAAAATATTTGCTGTTGTTTTGACTGAATTGTTTAACAAAGTGTTTAACTCTGGTACCTTCCCTGCATTGATTGTCCCTGTTTATAAAAAAAGGTTTGAAATCTGACCCAAATAATTATATATCATCCTTATTAGATTGCCTTGGGGAAAGTTTACTCTACTGTGCCAAACGAAAAATCAAGAGTGGTCTGAAATGAACAAACAGTATTTGGAGGCCCAGGTGGGATATCGAATCGGTTATTCAACGAACCGGCTATTCAACAGACTGGCACAAAAATATCTAGCTAAACAAAAAGGCTGTTTTTATTGTTTATGTGTAGGTTTCTCAAAGGCCTTTGATAAATATGCCACAGCTGATGTCATTGCTTTTAAGGAAATATGTATCAGTTGTATGGTGTTTAGAAACGGTGGCATTTTGATAAGGAATGAAAAATGGTTCCTGAATGACAATAAAGTAGAATGTCTAACCTGCTACTACAATTATATATTTAGCTTAACTTTTCTCCTCCATAATGCGTTTCACCATATGTAACAAGGGACTCGAAAAACGAGGATAGACATATTCTTATCCGGAGATCTTATCTGGTGAGCATGCGCAATAAATACTATCAGTGTAGACTGGAATAACCAGACACTAGAGATTACCATTCGTTTAAGACTTCTGGCGTATTTCGCCGAACATAACTGATTAGAAATTACAGTAAAAACAGAATCGAATGAATGTAAATCAAGATCGAAGAATGATCGAATTGAGTGAAAATCTCAAAGACTACATGTATAGTAATTTTAAGTTAAGCATTATATCAAGCGACATATTAAACATGTCACGTGAAAGTATCGTATCAGCGTAATATTACCGGACTTATATTGAATGTCTTGCCACTAAATACCCCCTTACCCCATGTTGTCAATTATGCAAAGTAGGAAATAAAGATTCATATCAGTTTTTATCTTGTCTTCGAATGTCTGAATGACGTAAAAATAAGAAAGGTAATTATGATTGATATATGTACGTCTAATGATAAAACACTTTTAGTTCTCATACCCATCTATGCGTTCATAAAACAGGCCTTATTATTACCTAGGCAAACTATACTAGCACCTCCACAGGTAACTCGATTCTGATATTATATATTTTGTATGTACTATTGCTCGATGGCCTTCTAGAGATTATTTATTATCCATGAGTTCTCAATTTAAAATCATAAGTTCAATATATAAATCTTCATCTGTAAAAACTACTGCTTCCAACTGATTGATATTGATCGTTAAATGCAATTTTTAAAAAACAGTTTTGGTGTGTGGGAGAGGGATAGAGGATCAATAATTTTGCAAAAAAAAATTATAATTTGGTGGCCATCTGAAATTACCTTTTTCTCGGCGCTTTTGTTCGAACCTTGGAAATCATTACTCTCTTCCCCATGACCTTTACCCAGCACCATAACAGATAGTCCAATATTAGTCTAGATGCCATTTTAATGCAATCTGTCAATCAAATACGGTTTGGTGGCCATCCGAAAATACCTCTTTTTCGGCAAATTTTGCGATTTTGAACATTGCCCCTGCCCTCAGCTCCAAACCATAATAGATAAATCAATTCTGATTGTTTCATTGAAGATATAAGCCTCATATTAACCTAGATGCCAATTCTTATTCAAATCGTCAAGAAATAACATTTGGTAGCAGACTAAAGATGTTGGAATTTTCATAAAGGATTCCCAAATTAATGTGACTGATTTTCTTTGCAGATGTGTATGGGAAAATGTGATTTGATCTGTATTGAAAGGATTATTTGAAAAATAAACATCATCAGAAAATGCGCGGTGGTTATTTTCGGCCACGCAAAAGTTGGCATTTTTGAAAGTCTTTTTTTTAAAAAACCCATAAATATTTTATTAAATCGTATGCAAAGCCACCAAGATAACTCAAACTTTCGTGAATGATCGCACACAGACTGAAGTTTAAGTCCAGCGACCTTTGTAGGATTTAACAAGCCAACAGTGAGGCTGATGTCCCCCGCCGAAATCCCCAAATAAATAGATGACACATATTAATTAATCGCACATCTATTTTTTTCAAAAGTATCAAGCAATCAAACTGATTATCAACTATACACTAAGTTTCACCACACTCTATTAGATAGAATCAAAGTTATCTTGTCCCAAAGCATCGCCCAAGGAAATTGCTTATCTCTGCTTAGCTTTAGCTCGATGTTAATTATTGAACTCAGTCAAGACGAACATCTACACAAGTTTAAATATTCTACCTCAATTAGAAGCAAAGTTGTTATGTTCCAAAGTCTTGACCCATCAAAATGCTTATTGCTTCTTAGCCTAAGCAGACGATTGTCATCATCGAACTTAGTCAAGGTATTGATGTAATGAAACTATACACCAAGTTTCATCACTCTCACCTAATTAGAACTAAAGTTATCGTGTCCCAAAGCATCAACCAATCAAATTGCCTATCTCTACTTACCATAAGCAGAAAATGCTCATCTTCACACTCTATCAAAGCATTGACCTCATAAACACCTACACCAAGTTTGAAAATTCTAGCTCAATTAGAAGGAGGACTATTGTGTTCCAACGTCTCGGACAATCAAATTGCTCATCGCTCTGCTTACCCTCAGCAGAAAATGCTCAATATCGGACTTAGTCAAGGTATTGATGTTATGAAACTATACACCAAGTTTCATCACTCTAACTTAATTGGAACTAAAGTTATCGTGTCCCAAAGCATCAACCAATCAAATTGCTTATCTCTAATTACCCTGAGCAGAAAATGCTCATCTTCGAACTCCATCAAGGCATTTTTGAAAGTCATTTTTGAAAGTCTTTTTTAAAAATCCATTTGCCGAAAAAGAGGTATTTTCAGATGGCCACCAAAATGTATTTTTTGGGGTCACCCTGTATATGCCAAACAAATCAACATTTCTAAAGATTGAAATTTAGCTATTGGTACCTAGTATAATGATTTATGAATTACCTTTGTTGTATCAAAAGGGTGTCCAACAATAAGTCCACTTGTACCTGAAATAATTCATTGATAATTTATACATATTATAACCAAAACCATCTTCCGCGAAGTAATTTAGTTCGCACACTCGACACCTCTCCAAGGCTGGCATAAAACAATATATAATAAGTACATTTATATTGCTCTAATTCCACATTTAACGTTATAAAAAACAGACTCTGCTTACAAATATTCTTCAATTAAAGGAAGCTCCAGTGGGTAAGACGCTGGCTCGCTAGCCTGGGTGTCGAGTTTTCGATCCCTGCATTGGCCGAGAAAGTTCATCGGGATTGGGTAAAACGTTAGCTTGCTAATCTAATGGATGGCTCTAACCCGGTGTTGACCGCGGATTTCATTGGGATTTTCCGGTGTGGTTCCCCCTTGTCAGTTGTGCAGGACAGAGGGTCTGACAAGGACAGTTGGTTAGTCGTTCCGATGGTACGAAAAACCGAGACCCCGTGTATACATTGGGGTGCAGGTAAAAGATCCCTTGACTGTTGGAATTCGATATAAGAGTAGACCTTAGTGGCGCTACTCGGGCACACTTTATGGCGTATGCCCGTCTTCATTAGCCCAGTATAGGAGCAGAACAGTAGGACGTTAAACCACATTCCATTTCCTTAAGTAAGTATGGTTTCAGTCTGGATTTAAGGAGTGATCAAAGTTTTTGAGGTAGCGCGTTCAACAAATTGGCGGAAACACCCCCAAATGAGTTTATATTTTGGGACATACACTAGGTAACACGGCAGGGTGTGTATGGTTCGGCGCCTGTATTAGCCGAGAGAGTGCCTCAGGATTTTTCAGCCTGGTTCCCCTTGATTGAGGTTCTTGACCGAGAGCGGAGGCCGACCCAGTTCAGCTCTGAACGTAAGTCTCATAACACTCGTCCTGTACGTTCAGGAACCGCTCTATTGAATCCTTGTCGAAAAAAATTTTACTGGCCAACTTTGTACTGTTAAACGACCGCATGTCAATCTCTGTGAAAGCCTGTACAATGTAAAGGAAAACAAGACCTTGTTTACCTCACTAGAGTCAGTATGTGCGACATCGTATCAGATTCAAGCCTGCTATAAACGAAAATTCCTATTAGTGTCGAAGTACTGGTGGACAGAAGTACTTTACCATATCATGCCTCACACCGCCCCCTTGTAATATACAGAACTTATACGTTCTTCTTTCGTAATAGAAGAGACATAACAGAATTCCAACAACGAAGCATCAACGTTCAGCTCCATTAACACCAGCCAAATCAGTCCCGGTTGCCTAATTGAACTCCTGGTTGGTTAATTCATTAATTTTAGATATCAAAGGGACCTTTCGGCCAACAAATTATAAACTACGACATCGAGATAAATCTTGAGAGCTGCATTAGAATATGAAGCCGTCAACCTCCTTAGGAGAATCAGTGTGGACATTTCATGCGAAATGAAATAGAGTTTAACGCCCTACTGTTTTCCTCTGATTGGGCTAATGACATTTTATACAACAATTGCGCATAAAAATATAAGTGGCGGCGAAAATATTTCTGTACTTGAACGAATATCATGCTGAATTTAGTCGGTCTGGAGAACGATCGCATGTTTCTTCCCCCGTAGTACACTGACAACTATAACAATGACGTAAATTAGTCACCTAGTTTAGATCAAACCAACAGTGGCAAGACGCTCGACGCCCACATTTTGCAAGAGATGGATAGAGAACAAGCTAAAAAAAAATCCAACGTGATTTTTCGTACAATCGGGGGACATAATCCAAGCAGTTATGGTCTGAAATGTACCAATATCGAAAGGGACTGAGATCGTTGGGATATAAAGATATAAGTTTCATCAAAATTGTGATCTCTAGAGGGTCAACAACCTTCCTATTACATACTTGCACATAATTTGCGTACAAGGAGCGGCCATTTTGTCGGGAAGTTTCGTTTCAATTTGGCAAAATTCGAACCCAACCTTCATTATCGTGAAAGGGTGATATATTTCAACGGGTTTTAAAATCTGATAAAAATTGTTTTCTCTAAAGGATTCACGAGCTAAAAAAATGTGATTTTGCGAAGTCAGGGGCTATAATCCAGTAATGTGTGCATATATATTCAAAGGAACTGGGATCTTTGAGATATAACATATATTTTAAGTTTCATTAAAATCGGACAAAAATTGTGGCCTCTGCGAGCTCAACAACCTTGGCATTACCGATATCACCAGCTTATGGAGTGTTTGTGTCTCAACTAATTCGTTAAGCGAGAGCTTGTTCATTTTATTCTGATTTTTTAAGTAGATCGAGGCATTTGTCATCTAAGCTTCAACTACAGGGATACTTGCGTATAAGGAGCGGCCATATTGTCCGGCAGTTTCGGTCAGATTTTTACAAAATTCGAACGCAACCTTCATTGTTGTGTAACGGCGATATATTTAAATGTTGGTTTTTTTTAAAAATGGAATACAAATTGTAACTTCTAGTGGGCCCACAAGCTAAATATGCGATTTTTCGAACAATCTGGGTCCATTAATCCAGGAAGTTACATTCGGACATGTGCGATTATCGCAAGGAGCCAAGATCTTTGTGATATAAACATAAATGTCAAGTTCCATTAAAATCGGATCACAATTGTAGTGTCTAGAAAGTCCACAACCTTGATTTACCATATTTTTACACTATTTGAGTACGACAGGCTGCCATTATGTTCGTCAGTTTTCGTCCGATTTTCACGAAATTCGAACTCAACAATCATTAGGGTGTAACGGGGATATATTCAAACGTTTTGGGGTTTTTTTAACAATCGGATAAAAATTGTGACCTCTAGAGGGACCAAAAGCTAAAATCGCGACGTTTCGTACAATCAAGGACCATAATTCAGGAAGTTACAATCCGATATGCGCAAATATCGACAGGAACCAAGATCTTTGGGTAATAAACATGCATCTCAAGTTTCATCAAAATCAGATGCAAATTGTGATCTCTAGCGTATGCACAAGCTAAAGCGTGATTTTTCGAACAATCAGGGGTCATAATCCATGAAGTTACGGCCGACTACATGCCAATATCGAAAGGAAACGATATCTTTGGGATATAAACCTATATTTCAAGTTTCGTCAAAATCGGATAAAAATTATGACCTGTACACGGACAGGGGCGACGACAATATACGTCCACTCTATTTCAAGTTTCATCAAAAGCTACTAAAAACGCGAACTTTCGTACAATCAAGGGTCATAAGGCAGGAAGTTACGATCCTATATGCGCAAATATCTATAGGAAACAAGATCTTTGGGTAATAAACATACATCTAAAGTTTCATCAAAATCAGATACAAATTGTGACCTCTAGAGTATGCACAAGCTAAAAACGTGATTTTTCGAACAATCAGGGGCCATAATCCATGAAGTTACGGACCGCTACATGCCAATATCGACAGGAACCGATATCCTTGGGATATAAACCTAAATTTCAAGTTTCGTCAAAATCGGACAAAAATTGTGACCTGTACACGGACAGGGGCGACACGTCCACATGGAAATGTGGGCGTATAAAAAGGTAGTCGGATATATTTGGGCCGATTTTTGCTTCGTTCGTAGGCCGCTGCCCACACCGCCTAGAGGGTAACACGCATCTGACAGAAGGCCAGGGAAAGTTCTGTGTCAGCGCGTTAACGATTCCCTGACAATTTTTATAACATTTGCCTGGTTTTTTTTTGATAGGCTCAAATCAGCATGGCGTTAACCCCTATTTTATCTCTCCGTTATTTATTTATTTTTTTTACTTATCGTGGGCTGAGGATTAACTGGTTCTATGTCCACTTTTCAGTAAAAATGAGATATTTGCATAAACATAATCTGTGAATCAACAGGTGTTATGTCCTGTGAGCATGATTTAATACAGAGGCGCCCTCTAGGTTAAATTGCCAAAAAAACACATAGGCCTTTGTTTAAATTTTAAGTCGATTCCCACTCACAAAGTTCTATGTCCACTTTCACCAATAGAATTACTGGATCTGTGCCATGTGATCTAGTTACAAAATGGCCGAAAAGGAAAATAGCATGGCTGGGTGTACAGGGCAGAAAAGTCATCGGTAGCCGCTTAGAATATTGTCCGACAATGAAATCTTGTTAGGCACCTTAAGACGACTTAATTTTTTGTTGAAAACTTTTTTTTATTTGGTTTTAAGGGGTCGTTTGAGATAGTACTAGTTAATTCTCGTTAAAACATGTATTGTATGTACATGTAAAATGTACACAGTTTATGGAGATGGATTGCATTTCGGTGCCGGACGTCGAAAGTCCTCGACACATGTTATTTCCATTAGAATGCCAGACGCCGAGAGTTTTCGACATGAGTTATTTTTAACTGCAAAGGCTGTGCGTTTAGTTCCGACTACCGCTGACTTTCATTTAGCCTTTTTACTTCCGTTTTCTTTCAGAATTTTCGCAAATTGGCATGAAATGGGGCCACAAACGTTGTTTTCGTCCCGAAAAGTCGTGATATTTATCAACATGTATTTAGATTTATGAAAAACACCTCTTTTACAACTATGTGATTCAGATAAAATAAAACCAAGTAAGAACAATCCAAACCATAAGACAGAATTCGAAATCCTAAAAAACGTTATAGGCAAAATAGTGTATTCAAGCAAAATCTTCTTGGGGCACAAAGTTCTATCTCCATGTTTCTGACAAATTCGTTACATTTTGTAAACCACAAAGACCTATCTCCATTTATCGTATTTCAGTTAGACCAAATTAAATCACACTGCACCAAGAAACACCACACACTCTGCTAGCTTCATATATTGATAGCTTCAACAACTGTGAAAATTTGGTAAAAATTCATAAAATTTCAAATTACAGAGATGCCAAACTTCACACCCATTTTTCTCAATTTAACAAAAAGTGGACATAGAACCAGTTAATCCTCAGCCCACGTTATTTTACTACTCACCTCCTAAGGCTCCAGCAATATAATCATGAAACACGTTTGGTGCCGGTTGCTGGGAAATAATGGGCGTCTCCATTTGCAATAATTAACTTGTGTGATCACTGCTTATATCATCTGTGGAAACACGAGTGAGTTCAAATTCATATATAGCACGACATTAGATATGGGATTTATAACAAAAAACCATACCAAGTGTAATTAACTGTTATCTGATACACTGACCCACTATTACTGATATACATCAAGTTGACTGAAACTAATAGTAACTTTATTGTAATTTTGTTTATGCAAACTGACTTGATTACTCAGCTAAACAAAAAACATGATTTGACATTCTTTTTTTTATATTCTATACTGTGTAAACACTATTTGAGCGATAGACCTTCGATTTGAAGTTCTCAAACATCCACATTGTACGTACAGTATATTAAACCAATATGATAGACAACACGCGCACGCGGGCGAAGCCGGAGTGTTCTCTATCATATCAATCCGATGGGGGAGAAGGTTTATATCCGACATATACAATGCCATAGTTTTAATCGTCCTTAAAACTAAATATACTCTTCCATATAAAGTCAACAATGATCGGTTGTCTCGATAATTTCCGCCAAATAACGAAAATTACCGAACTTAATCACGTGAATGTACGTGAAGGTTCCTTTCAAAGTACCTTCTACCCATTTTTGAGTCTCTATGAAGAATTAATCCCTTTAAGCCAACAGATTGAAGGCGAAATAGATGTAAATGCGAATTCCCACGAGGATCTACTAATTGCTATTCAAAAAGCTGATGAAAATTTTGACCAGTAAAAAGCTATGTGTTCCGATTGTTCTGACTGTGAACCTGAAATGTTTTAAGTACGTTCAGAGAAGGATTTAACGGTTGTCCCCAAAAATACTTAACGAAGGGACTGTTGGGCTATAAATAATTTCAAGTCTGGGAGTGTGTGGAGAAATAATTCTACATGTGGACGAAGAGAAAATTCTAAAATATGTTTTAGACATGGACAATCAAAGTGTTAAGGGTAAGTTGAAAGTTTCTTAACGGTATTTTATAAGCCCATAGTTGTTTTGGACATATCGAATTATCGAGGTTAAGTTGTACTTTTCTTCTGATATTTTTGATAAACTTTTGTAACCTATAATTACTGTGTGCATATCTTTCAGGTGTCAGAATATAACAACAACAAAGGTGTTTTGCTACACGAAAGAGGGTCGTGTTCCGACAATGCAGCTGATACATAAAAAAAAATATACGAAATTAAGGGTCAGATCTAAATACCGATAGGTACACCTGTTTCGGTGCTGAATGCAACTAACTGTAGCATAAACATTTGTAATTATCAAGAGAATAAAAAAAAGGATTTCTGTGTTCTTTGTAGTATTTCATTAACATCATCAGAGGTTGATATGAACTGATTATATCAACCTATGATAACGTCATGACAGTTTGATATCAGATATAACTTGTATGGACATCAAAGAAAAAAAATACCACCAGATGTACATCACATGTTAATGTTATTGATATAGGTACTCTAACTTTTGAATAATTATACTTTAAATAGTGTACTGGTTTTTTCTAGGCTACCAGATATATTTTTGATAAATCTTGTGATTTAAAAGGTCCTTTGATTAAAGATGCATTATGCAAGATCGATACTGAGCTGTCCGTCCTTACTTTTTTTAGTTTAAAAATAGATAATGAAAAATGGATATATTGAACATTTCATCACATTGCCCACATTACTTCAGAGATTGTCTCAGTTATAAAGTACCATTCGTACAAAGTCATGATTTTCCATGTTAACGTTAAATGTCTAATCCGATGAATTTGAGCTTGTCATTTGACTAAATGTCTAAATAATAATTAACAATAGGCAGATTTAGCTCTTACATAATGCATCTTTAACTAATTGAACTGAAGCTTATATAACTTCAAGAGATTGTCTGTTATATCCATGTCTGTTAACAGCTGGGGGGGGGGGGGAGGGGCAATGGTTTGCGCGTTCGATGACAAGGAGTAGGATCGCATGTCCAACCTTGTGGGTTTTTTCCGGTTTCCTCCCACAGCATAAAAGCTCTAAGCGCCAGCGAATTATTTAAATAAAATTGAACCATGTTAGTACCGAAATTACCTAGTTGGCGTCCAGTGGACGTTAAACCTCGTTTCTCTCTGTTAACAGCTCGAGCTACAAATACACATTTAATTAACACATTTCATTTTCCGTGACAATATTCACAGTAGTCTGGTCCTTTTTACGTAAACATCACGACAATGATGACGTGGAAATAAAGAGTTTATTTGTCGATCACGCGATCGTCAAAGCGAGTATATTTTGACGTCATCTCCATGGTTACCTTGTAGCTCATTTTCTGTCCATTCCATAACCCGTGACATAAATAGGTATAAAATAGTCTCCAAAATTACATGTACAAACTGTGATTTGATGATATATATTTCATTACTCGCTGTCAATTCTTCGATTAGCCTATGCCAACTGCTTTCCCGGCCATTCAACAGCTAGCCAGGCACTCTCTACATTTACATCTCTCTAGCAAACAACAAGCCGTCGGTTTGTCAGTGAGACCCTTACAGTGTTGCATTGTGAGCGCTCTGTGTGTGATTTTTGAGAAATGCAGTAGCTTTCTAGCCACATACTGAAGAATACAATTCGATCAAAATGAACACAAATAGTCTTAGAAGAAATAAAAATTCGATTTCTAGGTGGAAATAGCGCTTACGAGCCCGACGGGAAACATGTTGATCGTTTGTTTATGCAAACTGAGGTGATAGTGTGATGCGACTTCTCAGTCCGACAAAGCATTATTTGGCATCCTTATTTGAATCTCGCATCGAGTTAACATTAAAGGGACTATTTTTACCGCCCTTAAAAGGGTTAGGGTTAGAATTCCCCCAAATACTTATTGATATAAAGCGGCGATTGTGGATTCCGAAAATTCCCCAATCTCCTAATACGGCCTACAATTAGCATCCCGGAAAGATTACAATGCTCCTATGGTTTTCCTGGTAATTACTTTTGGAGTTATTGTCATTGATCAATTGAAAAATCTTGTGAAATTTATACATTGTGTTAATGATCATGAGACGAATGATTTCTTTATAAATATTTTATACGCTCTAGGAGATAAAGTCATATAATTCGAAATTTATACACAGTGTTGATGCCTATCTCTTGAAATGTATGGGCCAGCGCTTGTAGCCATTGCCAAAATTTACCTTTGTCATAATTATTAATTGCTGTGATGTAGAAAAGTAGGCCATAAATTGTCACGAGTATTAAATGGTGTAATGAAATACTATATAAAGATTCAATCAGTGCAAAGTCCTCAACCTTTGCCACTAGTATTAGTAACTGCATATCTATCCTATCCTATAATGAGACACTTTTATTCTTAGGGCTGCACATTGTCGGGTATTTTCGTCATTGGTAAACATTCCGTCAGATTGTCGTCGACGGTTTGTAGTTATAATACGTACGTTTCTAGTTTATTTCATTTTTCGAAGGGACGTGAATGGAGGTCTGAATGCGATGTGAAAGTTTGACTGGTTACCAGTACCAGTTGTTTAAATATGAATAATAATTTACAAATTCTTATAATGACACATTTCCTTTCCCAACGAATCGGGATGCAGCAATCAAGCTATAATGACACATTTCCTTCCAAACGAATCGGGATGCAGCAATCAAGCTTAGTCTGTGTCATCCGTAAATAAGAGACCCTTTTCTTTGATGTAGCCTAATTTCCGTGGGCCTACAGATAATTTTTAAAATATGTTGTGTAAAACAACTAATCCATCAGAATAATTTCCTGTGCTATCTACGTTACGGAAGGCGAAAAAAGTCAATATCCACTCTAGAGAGAACAGAGAAACCCTTTTTACGGATTGTCATACCTACCAAAATATGTATTATTCTTCTACACCGATATAATACATCATGTGGTGCATCATACTATAATTCTTTGAGATGGTCAATTCTATTCTATTGTTAATGACAGTCCAAATTACTTTTTATGTCACTTTATATGTGCAGTTCCGTCGACACTGTTAGCAACAATTTCTAGTTGACCTTTTCTGGTTGAAAGATTAGATGTTAAACTATTATTTGACATATACTTTGGACATCATTTTCTATTTAGACTTTGCTTATGTCGGTAAAGTGGGTCGAGAGATTTAAATTTTCGTAAATAAAATTAATTAACTGATCTTTAACGTCCTAGTTTGTAGCGCCTAACGAAGAAGGGTTCTTGAAAAAAAAATACGGCCTATCTTCACTGTATTGGCGGATTATAACGGGCGAATAAAAATATAGTTCTTACATTGACCTCATCTTTTTTATCACAATCCTTGATATCACATTATTCATGAATATTAACCCACTAACGTATATATCTATATGGATATTATAGGAATGTTTGTAGGAGAGGAAGGAAACCAGAGCCCCCTTAAAGTTGCAATTTCATATTTTTAAGTTATATTTTTAAAATGTATTAAAATCAAGCCTTAAAATAGATGGTAACTATAAACAGTCCTACCTTGTTAAAGAATAATCCTATTATTCCTATAATTCACTATTGCCAGTTGAGAAATTGGCAAAAATATTATTTTCAACTTCAAATTCAAACGTTTGAAGTTAGCTATTCCATAGGGGAAATAGAAAACAAGGGAGGTAATAATTGTGTTATTATTTCCGGGGTCAAGGATTTATAAGTGGGAGAATGATACCTATGATCGTATAATAGTGAGTTGACAACCATTGAGCAAAAGACATAGAAATAATTATGTTTTGACTTTCTTAGAAAATATGAAATTCCCGCTTTAAAGACTCACTCGATTCGATCGACGACTGGACTAATATTGGCAAAAACTTGACCGTCCCAGTGAAATGTATTTCTGATCTCGCATAAGATTATCTACGTTACAGAAAAGGTTAAAGAAGTTATTTGATAGAATGGACATTTTTGTTGCATTTGTCTGATATACGTATACGTTCATTATACACCCTGGTGTGTTATCTCCGGGCCTTGGAAAAAAAATGGTTTCACTGGGCCCCAATCGTGGTCAAGACTACATGGTGAATGAAAC